ATGGAGGGGGGGAAGGCCAAGGCGGGGGAGGATGGGGTGGCTGGGGAGGAGGAGGAAGAGGATGAGGAGGAGGGGAGTGATGAGGAGGAGGAGGGTGAGGAGGTGCAGGCGGAGGACGGGGATGGGGATGGGGATGAGGATAGTGGGGAGGGCGGGACGGTGGAGTCGCCGTTTGTGCCGTTGAGGTTGGATGTGACGCCGCTTTCCCTCGATATCGCGGGGTTGTTTGGGGGGAAGGGCAAGGGCAAGGAACGGGAGGGGACGGTGCCAGGTCCAGGGTCGGTATCGCGGGGGAATAGTCTCGTCACGCCGACGGCGCATCCATGGCATTCGCCCGCCGCCAACAAAACTGGTCAGATGGATTACTTCTCGGTGCGCACGCCGACAAGCGAAGAGACGCCTAGGCCAGTGTTTGCTGTCCCTGCTGGGCTGGCTAGTGCATCGTCCACTTCGGGGGCCGGCGTGGATCGAATTCAGCTTCAGCAGGACAGTCGACTTGCGAAGATGCAGATACCACAGATACCCATGTCGCCTGCGGTGAAGACGGTGCCGATGCCGCAGTTGCCTACGCGTGCCCCGGAGCGTCCGGGGATGTATAAGCACGCGTCGAGGAGTATGGTGGATATATTGCAGGCTTCTTCTTCATCGGTGGGTAGGGAAGAGGAAGAGGAAGAAGAAGTGGGCGGGGAGGGCGAGGAGGAAGCCAGTGAGGATGAGGAGAGTTTGGAGGATGTGAAGGATAGGTTGAAGGCGACGGCAAAAGCAAAAGCAAAGGCCAAGGTGAAGAAGAATAGCAAAGATTCTGCGTCGGCTTCGGCGTCCACGCATCCGCCGGTGGAAGCACCGGCGTATGAACCCCCGCCACAACGGGCCAGCACGCTCAAGCGGCGGCGGTCGATGCCGGAGATTATGGCCGCGCCGCCACCGTATACACTCCCTCTTTTCCCTTCGACGGCGTTTTTGAACAATAACAATAACACCGGCGCCGGCGGTGGGCTGCATCCCCTCGCGCAAGTGCGCATCACGCCAAGGGACGACGAGGGGAGGGAGGTTCTGCCGCCCTATAGCAACGATATCTTGCTTCGCGGGGTTATGCCGCGCAAGATGGAGTTTACTGCACCGGGGGTGCAGGCGAAGGACCGGAAGTGGCGAAGAGTGTTGTGTGAGCTGGAGGGGACGGTGTTTCGGGTTTATCGGTGTGCGGGGGAGGGGTGGTGGGAGAGGCGGGTGGGGGTCGGGGATGCGACGTTGCAGGCGGCGGGGAGTGTGAGTCCGAGTGCGGCGGCTGCGGCGGCGAAGGCGCGGGCTGCGAGGGAGAGGGAGGGGCAGGAGGTTAGTAAGATTGCTGGGGAGGAAGGGAGGATACCGGGGGTTGGGGGGAGTGCGGCTGTGGATGGGGAGGGGCGGGAGGAGCAGGGGACGACGGAAGTGGTTATTCCGCCGAGGTCGAGTATGTCTTCTGCGAGGAGTGGTGCGTCGTCGGGGGGTACGGCGCCGCCTTCGCCTGAATCAACGGAGGGAAACAGCAGTATCAACGCCTCGTCTGCGGCTTCTATTGCGGGGTCGACCAGTGCCAGCCGGTCACGGTTGAATCTTGGTATCAGTCTGCTCAAGCCGCGTTCGCATGGTCGGTCGAAGAGCGAGATGCCGAACCCGCCTAAAACACCAACAACCCCGACGAGATCATCGCTGTCTATTCCAAGGCCGTCGTTTGGTGGCAGCTCGACCTCGGGTGCGAGTAGTAGCGGGAGTCTGAATGCTAGTACGAGCGGCGCGGCGTTGGCCCCTTCGCGGTCGAATGCGAGCCTTGTATCGGCTCGTTCTAGGGCACCTAGCACGCGCGGCACGCCCAGTTCCCAGCCTATTGTCAGCAGCCGGGCTCCTGCTACGCCGTTGAGCAGCATGGGCAAGGGCAAGTGGTCTGGTGTTGGTATCGGCACGGCCGGGGCAGATATCCCGGAACCCGATCCTGCGGACCTCATTCGTGCATATACGTTGCAGCATGGCGAGAGTGGGTTGGGCAACGATTATTTGAAGAGGAAACATGTTATTCGTGTACGACTTGAAGGGGAGCAGTTTTTGCTGCAGGCGAGGGATGTGGGGGATGTTGTGGGATTGGATTGAGGTACGTGCTTTTTGATTTAATTTTCACTGGAGCTGGACTGACTTGTTTGCAGGGGTTCCATAGCGCGACGAATATAGCGCTGGATCTAGACGAGCGGGTTATGCCTAAAGGGCCGCTGTTCCCCAGGTGTGTTGGCTTCATTCGTAGTGTTTTGGATGCTAAATTCGATTCACAGACGGAGACGACGCCGTCCGAGGCCTGCGAATGGTGCCGAAGCTCCTGTAACGTCCTTAAACAGCAATAATGCGTCTGCGACACGTTGATCTTATACTTACTTGTATATTTTTTCTATCACTTCTGGCATGGACTGAACACTCATTCTTTTTAATCTACTGCATTATCATACCCACAGACAGTGAGATACGACTTTCATACATGTAAATATTGCTGTTGTAGAGTAAAATAATTCCCTGGAGCAGCCCAAGATATGGGCGATTCAGATTCAGAAGGACGTCCTCGATGTCGCACTCCAAGCTGAGGAAAGAAATGCTTTCGAAAAGTTGAGCTAGCCGCGGCGAGAAGAAGTAAACAAATACTCGTGACTGAGCGCCATTTTGGGCGACAGCACCACGCGATTTACTTATCTTCTCGAGTCATCCCGACTAGTTTCTTGTCCCAGCGCTCTCCCCGATACACTCCCGCCCTTTAATCCTTCCTTCTTCCCGGTACTTGTAACGACCACCCAACGAACTCTTCGAATCCCCTTTATCTCGATACCCCCTTGTCGGATACCAGTATACCGCCTTTATAGAAGCCTCCGTTAATTGCGCATGGCAGATTCTGGGATAGAGATTGACCTTGACTCCGTTATCGACAAGCTGTTAGAAGGTCTGTTTGAGTCTACAGCGGTTTTTCGTCCGTTTTTTTGTCGCTCACAACGAGATTCGTTATATGCAGTACGCGGCAACAGACCTGGCAAGCCGGTGCAATTGCAAGAATACGAGATCAAGTACCTCTGCACGAAAGCTCGCGAAATCTTCATTAACCAGCCCATTCTACTCGAGCTAGAGGCGCCGATTAAGATATGTGGTGCGTCGTGTGCCGATTTATAAGACACGCAGTATTGACGCCGCTCCGCGTAGGTGACATTCATGGCAGTACTACGATTTGCTACGGCTTTCGAGTACGGGGGCTTCCCACCCGAAGCGAATTACCTCTTTCTGGGCGACTACGTCGACCGGGGGAAGCAGTCCCTCGAAACGATTTGTTTGTTGCTCGCCTACAAAATCAAGTACCCCGAAAACTTCTTTATTCTGCGGGGGAATCACGAGTGTGCTTGTATCAACCGGATATACGGATTTTACGACGAATGTGCGTTTTCAGTGCCGTGCGCGATAAAGACGGGAAACTCATTGAGCAGCCAGGCAAACGACGATACAATATAAAGCTGTGGAAGACATTCACGGATTGCTTCAATTGCTTGCCTATTGCCGCCATTATTGATGAGAAGATATTCACGATGCATGGTGGGCTGAGTCCCGACCTGCAATCTATGGAGCAGATACGGCGGGTGATGCGGCCGACGGACGTTCCTGATACTGGTCAGTTTTGACTCGTTTCCCCCATGCAGCACTTATTTCTGTTGTTCTTTGCAGGCTTGCTATCTGATCTCTTATGGGCCGATCCCGACAAAGATATCACTGGTTGGTCAGAAAATGACCGCGGTGTATCGTTTACTTTCGGGCCAGACGTCGTCGCACGCTTTCTCCAAAAACACGACATGGATCTTATTTGTAGAGGGCATCAGGTGTGTTGGGCTGCATGCTTTCATCGTTCACAACTCAGCCATCTCAGGTCGTGGAGGACGGATACGAGTTCTTCGCAAAGCGTCATCTGGTCACATTATTCTCCGCGCCGAATTATTGCGGGGAGTTCGACAATGCCGGGGCGATGATGAGTGTGGACGAATCGTTGCTCTGTTCATTCCAGGTGCGTCTCGACCGTTGTATGTCTCCGATTTACAAACACTCTCCAGATCCTCAAACCTGCCGAGAAAAAGCAAAAGTATCCATATGGCGATGCGACACCACGGAGACAGAAGAAACGCGGAGCGGCTTGAGCTTCGTGGACCCTTGCTGTTTCTGCTTGCGACCGTTAGCGCTTTGTGGATAGACTTCGAGCGCCTCAGCGCGTCGAGTGTACGATCATATTTCGCGGATGCTTCACTTGTGCCTTTATTTATTCGGTTGTGTTTATTGGCGGGACATGCTGACTGGACTACATGGTTGACGGGAGGTTGTAGATCGAGTTTGGGACATGTTGTATCACTGTTGCCTGTATAAGATACCATTCCGTCTACGTTGGGTTTGCCCATCATTGAGTTCATGAAAACTTCGGCTGAAAAACTGCACCGGGCAGCGTCTGGATGGCGATAATTGCATTGACTGAAGTTATGTCCTTCGCATGTGGCTTCTACTTCCGATACCCCACAGATGCACGAAATTGAATCTCTTCTCCTGGGACAATGTCTAACACTGCTAGCTTGACCTGCTGCTGCCAGTGACTGGAACCGTCGTCATGTTAGCGAGTGGTTGTTCACCAGGCTTATGAGCAGTAGTAAGAGTATATACGAGATGAAACAAGGTCCCATACCCTGCCAAGATACTACAGAAATTGTAGGTCGTGTTTGCAACTTGAGAAGGAAATTTTACACGCCTATGTAAATCCCAAAAGGGACATTCAACGCCAATTACGTGAGATATTGTCCCAATCGGGAAGTTCAAAGTCTCCACTCGGTTTCGACATATCTCAGCAACTAGAAGGACGGTTCACAAGAAAAAAGAAACGACAGATAGCTGTAATTTTTCTATCCTGTAAAGCGCTCAGATTCAAGGCAAAAATGAACACCTCATGCTCCCAACGCCGGAGCAAAAGTTGATCGAACCCAGGTTCGAACTGAGGACCGCCTGTGAACAGAGTCACGTGCTACTGTTAGACAGAAGTGATAACCAACTACACCATTCGACCGATATTCACTCTTAGTTTGAATATTATACAGAGGTAAAACGCCTCAGAAACCTCCCAACTACTTACGGCAGAATCAACTCAAATGACCAATTTCTCGTTCAGAAGGCAGCTGGTTTCTGACACCAAGCAGTTCCCAGAGATTTGTATCCGGGTATCCCTTCCCGCAATTTTGTGATTCCTTGGTCCAACGTTCACCCTAGTCTGTAGACAGACGCTGCAACAAGAAATATCCTCGTACCTGCGGTTATCAATGTACGTTCACCTCCAATGAGCTTAAGTAGCTTAATTAAGTGAATTCACCTAGACTGCGACCCTTCGTTTCGAACCCCCCTCTAATTTTTACAGCACAAGGTCATACAGGGAGATATACACCTGTGTTCAATCTGATTCCAAAGTCTATGCTCAAGTCTTCGATGCTATTTCGAAGTCTGGGGACACCGCTGCGTGTGCGATGCTCATTCTCTGCCACGAGCTGCAAGACTCTAGACGGTGCAGACTTCTGAGACACAGGACTACGACAATTCGCAATTCGGCAGCGAATGATATAAAGGTTGGCTATTCTGACACACTACTAGATAACAGCATCAAGTAGTGGATGTCTTGGGAGCTCGTTTTGGCTTCTTTTTCTTCCCGGAAAGCAGGTCATTGCCTGCCTCCGTCTTCTTGACTCCGACCATGGAATTATTGACTGTAGCAACAGCATTCAGTACTTTTCTGGACAATCAGCGCTGACTGCTTACACTCGCCGGCAAGCAGATCATCGACTATGGGTTTGCTTCCAGAAGTGATATAACGAATGGACACCCCGCGAGCAATAAGCGGTTGCGCAAGTAACCTCTTGAGCTCTGCTTTCAGTTTGGAATTCTCGATGTCCTTTGTTTTCTGTTTGCGATCGCTGGCTTGTCTTCGTCTGAGCCGCTGTCGCAACATCATCAGCATTGCGTTCGAAAACGCGGACGGGAATCTACCTCATGAAGTCCGAATCCAGTTCAATTTCCATGGCATCTGCAGCCTCCTTCATCCACTTGCGATCATGGTTCGCCTTCTTGGTCTTATGGTGGGCGGTCTCGATCTTTCTCGCCAACTGGACGCGCTCCTTGAGCTTGTCTAGCATGCTAAGATCGATGCTTATTTCCGCGATTTCGCTTTCCTCTGAAGACGGAATCAGCATTCGTGTTGATCGCCCAATGTTAACACTGACGACGCCCTAGACTGCCGAGTAGAGCACGGACAACGCGGCGTTCATCGGGGGAGCACATGAGCATGCTAAATCCGCTACGCATTGCTCGCGCAGTCCGCCCATTTCTATGTATGTAGGCATCTGCCGAGCGAGGGATCTGATAGTGGATGACGTGGTCTACGGCCGGGATATCGAGGCCTCTCGCAGCAATGTCTGTGGCGAGCAAAACAGATTTTGGCGTGGATTTGAAACTGAATTAATGTTAGTCCGACTTTTCTCGCACCATCCAGTCCCTTACCGATCAAGATTTTTCAACCGCTGGCGCTGCTCCAACTGAGAATGCAGGGGAAAGGCTTTGATATTGAGCAATTCCGTTAATGGGAGGAGGCGGCGAATCCCATCAATCGAGGCAAGAAACACGAGAGATCGTCCAGGATATCGTAACAAGAAGTAGTACAAGTATACATCCTGCGCCTGGTAAGAGAAGGTATATGCCATGGGTATGAACAAATCACCTTGTCCGCCGAAAGACACTCAATCTTGCTCTCCTTCAGGGTTGAGACGACCCCACCCTGTGGACTAAGATCGATGATCTCTGGCTCAGGATCGCGAAAGTCGAGGCGGAGGAGGAGGTCGTCTGTGGGAGTTGAGATAAGGAGAATTTTTGCATTGAATGGCTTGACCTAGTGTTGACGCTGGTGAGCCCGATTTGTTATTCTTGCCACTAGCTTTCGGACGAGCGCGTCGTTTGACATTACGCTGCAGATCTTTGCTGAGGGTCGCAGAGAAGATGAAGGTCTGTAGGCCATCCTGGATAGGCTCTTCGTCGTCCTCTTCATTCTCTGGCTCAATCTGGTCCGCTCTAGGCAAGGTAGAGAGATGAGTGAGAGGACAAGAAGTGGAAGATATGCAGTACTTTGATTCTCGCAGAGTAAGGCGGAGAATGTTTTCCAACTCCGCGAAATGTCCCGCTTCTATCATTCGATCTGCCTCATCAAGGACGAGAAACTTGAGATTTTTGATTTGGGTAGCCAGGTCGTCGTCCTAAGACACATTCGCGTTGAGGGATTGAGAACAAAGAAGATGAGTACATACGTCTTGTATTATATCCCAGAGTCGACCGGGCGTCGCCACAAGAATATCGACCCCACGATCCAAGATACGGCGCTGTTTCTGAGAAGACATGCCGCCAACGATAGTCGCTACGCTGACTATGGGCGGTGAACGAGGCGCAGTAGCCTTCTGAGCCTCAGTTTCGGCATCCTTGTCGTCATTGGATTCCACCGCGTTCAGGAATTCATTCAAGTGAGATGAGACTTGTAACGCCAGCTCGCGAGTTGGCGCCAATATCAGGGCACTCAGCTTGCGCTTGAGCTTGGAAGGGTTTGCAGTTGCCAACAGTCGATGAAGGATGGGGAGGCCATATGCTAGCGTTTTGCCAGAACCCTTGGTCAAGCATTAGAAACAACGGGCATGGACACGCCAGAATGCCTACGGTCTGCGCAATTCCAACAACATCCCGCCCAGACAGTGCAAACGGAAGGGCGGCCGCTTGAATTGGTGTTGGGGAAAGAAAATCTTTTGAGTGCAGGGTCCTGAGAAGTGTTGGGTGAAGGGAATGTGAATGCCAGTTCGGCAGTAGATTACTGGCTGAGAGACGGTCAGCAGGCATGAACAGTCGATGAAGATTACAAAAGTGTACTTGCAATCGAACGGCTCTGGCTCTGCAACTTCTGCATCTGGAGAGTTTTCACGGACCTCCTCAGCCTCAGACTCCATATCTTCAGCAACATCAATGACCTATTTCACGCCTCAATTTTATCGCCATAGCGAGCGGGTGACACCGACGTTGAAGGCCATAATTCGGCCGGCTTCAGTATCTTCGTAGACCACTTCCACACCATCTACTTCCTCTAGTTCGAGTATACCGTCGTCGCCGTCCATTCCAGTCTCCATTGGACGCTTGACTGTCTTCCAGGGTAGAGCATCAGTTGTGTTATGATGGATTTTGGTGCGCTTGCGAATAGAGGTGTTTCGCAACCGTCGTTTTGAGCCCGCAAGGACCGGGGGATCTACCATAGCTCAGTGATCGAGAAAGCAGGTTGTAGAAAAAGTCAAGGTCCAGTGATGGCGATCAAAAATTGCCGTGGCGCAACAGCTTTCTTCGACTCGTCTTCAACTATCTCTTGACAATCTCAGTTTGAATCTTTATTCTTACGACTGTCTAGCGCATGCGATTTCTCTTCCTTGAATCGACTCGCATTTAGCACCATCAGCGCCCGTGGCTAGTCATGATCGGCAAGAGCAAGTTCGAGTCAGACAACCTCACTCGAAACAGGAATATAAGTTCTTCAACGTTGACCTAGCTGAGGCTAGCTCCTGCCCAAGATAAACCTACCAACCCTCGTCAAAGCTCAATGTATTCCCTCATCTTTCATTGGGGTAAGCGTGTTGGTGTTGAGATCGTTCTCTGATATAACATCGCACGCAGGCCTCTATGCTGTTCTCCCGCTTATGGCGATGAGTGGTACGAGAAGCGACTGCTGAAACCTCCGCGTCGTAGGGCGAACGATTATGAGGTTACCAAGAAAAATCCAGGAACATCACCGGAAGGTCTACAACAACGCACCCTACCAAAACTTTCAGCGCGGCTTTCATCCTGAAAAATGGGAGCCTTCTGCATGGATGACGCTCGCGTCCGACCTTGACGCTGAATATGTCCTCCTCACCTCAAAACACCACGATGGGTACTGCCTCTGGCCCACCTCCACCACGGACTACCACACTCATCGAAATGTCGTCGGTGACTTCAAAGCCGCTGCGCTCCAGGCCGGTAGGAAATTCGGCCTGTATTATTCGTGGTGGGAGTTCCGTCACGATGTCAATCGGGGAACGCCAGACGGAGAGGCATATCTACGCCGCATGGTGGCACAGGTCAAGGAGTTATGCGATACGTACGCGCCTGAGATATGGTGGTTTGACGGTCACTGGGCTTTCAGGACTCAGCATGCTGTCGACGCCATCAATGAAGCTCTTGCCTACATCGTCTCTCGTACGCCCAATGTGCAGATCAACGACCGTACAGGTGCGACACCGGAGCTTGAAGCTGAAAAAAAGAAGAGCCAGAATTTCATGCCCCCTCACTGCACCTTCCGTGTCTACAGAGACCGAGCCCTGCCCAAGTTTGCGCCCAGAGTCCCATGGGAGCATATCGGGACGGTCGGCACGAGCTGGGGTAGAGACAAAGCGCAGAAGCCGGAAGACTACAAAACTGGGGAGGAACTCTGGGAAATTGAGCAGAAGGTGGAGGCGTTGGGAGGTAGGGTCTGCTGGAATTTTGGGCCGGACGTGGATGGTTCTCTGGATGAGATGGAGGTGACCGCTTTGACAGCCCTCGCAGAGCTCAGGCGTAAGAGCAAAGAAAGCCAACGATAATGAATCCTTATATTGGATGTGTTAACCTGAATATAACATGATGGAGCAAATATAACATGATGGAGCTGGCGTTGCAGACTCGCCAGGAATCGCCATAAGGCATGGTGGTACATGTCCAAGCTTGTACGACAAGAGTAAGTATAGAAGCCGGGTGGGCGGTCACCAAAGACGATCATGAGCAAGCCGACATCAAAATGTCTCATGGGTGATAATGCTGCTCAATACAGGCTTGCTTGAGACGCAAATTGCCAGATTCAGAGTTAGAACCCAGGGCGGACAAGCCGGCGAATTCATAGACGGTAATTCGCTGATTCGAGGTTACTGCCCGAATGGGTGCGTAAAACGTGGAGGAAGAGCGCAGAACCCGTACCTAGTCTCGATGGTC